GCCAGGGAGACACGTCCTGTTCACGGTGGCCGGCAGCTGTGAGGGTGGCGAAGTACCTAGCGACTACATCCAGGCGTGGGCTAGTTCTTGGAGGGCAGCAGTCTGTCGTACTCCTGGTCACTGTGACTCCTCTTACGCTGACGACGCTGAGACTCCAGGTCTACTCAGGGTACTGTTTCAGTCTGGTGTCTGGAGCTGTTTCCTGGCGTTCCACGCGCTCCTCTTCTGTCTCGACCTCTACAGCTGAGGCTGAGATTTACGCTGGTGCCATGGCGGCACAGGAGTTGCGGTGGTTGACCTTCTTGCTCGCCGACCTTGGTGAGCGGCCGAGCTCTGCACCGACCTTGTTTACTGACAACAAGGCGTCGACCTCCTCTGTCGTGAGCCGCGACTGGAGAGCAGAGTGAAGCACATTCACGTCAGGTACTTTCTTTCTGCGAGAGTTGCAGAGACGTGGACAGGCTCGCTTCGAGTTCGTGGAGTCCGAGGCCAACACTGCAGACATCTTCACCAAGGCGCTTCCGCCTTGTGACCACCAGAGGTGTTGTGTGCAATTAGGCCTTGTTGACACAGGTTCTAGTCATGCGTAGACTTGAGTTTATTGCCTGCTTCGTCTGTACACTTACTATATATACTTGTGATCTCTTGGACTGGCCTTGTGGCCACTGTTGCTTGAGCTCAGAGTGTGTGGTGACGTTGTGATCCACCCTGAGCTTTGTTTTTTTTGGACTGGTTTTGTGACCGTTCTCTTTTTTGTTTTTGCTAGACACCCCTCACTTAGGCTATGGGGGTGTGTCAAATGTTGTAGCCTGTAGTGAGGTTTGTCTTAGGGGGTACAAAAGTTAGGGTTTGTCATATGTACCCCAACCAACATCAATGCAACATCCATTTCCTCATTCTGACAAATCGGGCCGAGGTAGAGCACCTGCACCAACCGCAGTGTGACTGGAGCGGCTACCGAACAGGGCCCACATATGCATGGAATGGAACCTTCCCTAAAAAATGCCTTGCCTAGTGTATGTCAGGAAAATCTCTTGCATTCTATAGCATCAGCTTCACGCAAAACTGCTACCAAGTTTACAGAATAACAAACCAAGATACGTACACCTACACGAACCCTTGACATTTTAGTCGACCTCCTCCATCTTGGAGCCCTCATCCGCACCCTCGTCAAGAGCAGGCATGTCAGCATCGTCATCAGCAGGGATGTCGTCGTCAATGCTCAGACCCAGCTTGATCATGCGGTGAATGCGGCCGCCAAACGTGTTGGGCTCCTCCAGGCTGAATCCCGAGGTGAGAAGGGCTGCAGACAGGGAACAGACATATGGTATCATGCACCAGTAATGTCCACAGCTCACTGAGATATTAAAAGTAGACAGCAGCTCACTGAGTTATTAAAAGTAGACAGTTCGAACGTGAGGTAAAACTTATCAGAGTAAAAGAAGCTGGGGACGACATACACAAAGGAAGGAACGAGTGAGCTTACCAGTTTCGAAGAGCAGCAGCACAAGATCCTTCACAGTCTTATCCGACTTATCCGCATCAGCGCGCTTCTTCAGCTCCTGGATTATGCCATTCTCGGGGTTAATCTCCATGGTCTTCTTGCTCATCATGTAGCTGCTCATGCTGCTGTCCCTCAGCGCCTGCGCCTTCATGATCCGCTCCATGTTCGCACTCCACCCATACTCGCCTGTCACCAGGCAGCACGGCGAATCCACAATGCGATCCGACACCTGCACCTTCTCCACCTTTCGCCCAGGATATCCTTCATCAGCTTGCAAAGGGGCTCGAAAGCCGCCTTGGTCTCCTCAAGCTTCTTCTTCTCCTCCTCCGTCTCCTCCAACTTCAGACCCTCCTTGGTGGCAGACACGAGCTTCTTCCCATCGTACTCCTTAAGCTGCTGCACGGCATACTCATCAATGGGATCCACCATGAACAGCACCTCGTACCCGCGCTTTTTCAGCTTCTCCAGGAATGGCGAGTTCTCCACCGCCTTGCGGCTCTCGCCCGTGATGTAGTAGATCACGGACTGCCCCTCCTTCATGCGCGTGACGTAGTCCTTGAGGGACGTCATCTCCTCGCCGGACTTGGTGCTGTGGTAGCGCAGCAGGTCAGCCAGCTTGGCGCGGTTCTGCGAGTCCTCGTGGATGCCCAGCTTCAGGTTCTGCCGAACGCCTCGTAGAATTTGGCGTAGTCCTCCTTGTCTCCTCGATCTCCGCGAACAGCTCCAGACACTTCTTCACGATGTTCTTCTTAATCACCTGGAGAGAGGGATTGGAGGTGACACGGTGGCGGACGAGAGCGTTAGGGAGGGAATGAATGACAAGAGACCTGAAGGTCGTTGTTCGTTCGTTCGAACTGGAAACTCTCAGGAGTGATGCAAGCACCAGTAGCTCGCCGCCTCTAAACAAGTAACAAAAGACGTGGTGCAAATGAATTCGGTGGAGACGGAAAGGGGGGAAGGGGGGGGGGAGGAAGGGGGGGGGGGGGAACGGGGCCGGGACATCGCAGACAGGTGGCAGACTTCAGACAAGCAGCCAAACAACGGTATATAGATGGCGCCGAAAACACACCTTGAGGATCTTATTCTGCTGGAGCATCTCGCGGGAGATGTTGAGCGGGAGGTCCTCGGAGTCGACGATGCCCTTGATGAAGCCCAGGTACTCGGGGATGATCTCTTCGCAGTTGTCCATGATGAACACGCGCCCGCACGTACAGCTTGATGTTGTTCGCCTTCTTCTTCCCGTCGAACAGGTCGAACGGCGCCCGCTTCGGCACGAACAGGATCGACTTGAATTCAAGCTGGGCGGGGGTCAGGGGAGCGCGGGGGACGTTAGCGAACTTGCAGGCGACGGCTTACACAATAATTAAAATCGTAATAATGGGTGTTTCGAGTATTCACTAGCCTTCAAGCCCTTCGGTTCATTGTCTGGTACTTTCTCGTTTCAGGGGACATAGAGAAAATCTAATAAAAACACAAAACGAAGGGCACGGGAGAATGAGCAGCAGTGAGGTAGATCAACTAACCTGGCCTTCAACGGAGAAGTGCTTGTACGCGAGCGGCTCCTCCCAGTCGTTGCTGAGGCTCTTGTAGAAGGCCGCGTACTCCTCCTTTGATACCTCGTCCGGGTTGCGCATCCACACCGGCTTCTGCTTGTTCATCAGCTCCCACTCGCTCGTCGTCTCCTTCACCTTCTTCGTCTTCTTCTCCTTCTTCTCCTCCTCCTCCACGTCCTCCACCTTGCCTCCTCCTCCTCCTTCTCCTCCTCCTCGTCCTCCTCGTCCACCTCCTTCTCAGTCGTCTTCTCCACCCAGAGGGAGATCGGTTAGCTGATGAACTCGCTGTGCTTCTTCACCAGGTCCTTGAGGCGTCGCTCCTCGAGATACTCCTGTTGATCCTCCTTCAGGTGCAGCACCGATTTTCGTTCCGCGACCGAGATCCTCGCCTGCACGGGGCAATCGGCGACAGAAGGCGAGATCGAGCGACAGAACGAGAAAGTAAGCGACAATTCGTACAATTTCGGTTACAAGCTCAACTCGGACACAAGCAGACTGGTGTACTGTGAAACCGTAATACACACGCGCTGAAGGAAGAGAAAGTATCAGTCTTACCGGTGTCGCGCGCGACGGTGAAGGAGCCGCCGGCCTGCGACTCCCAGATGTACTGCTCGTCGTCATTGTGCTTGGTGTGCACCACCACCTTGTCCGCCACCAGGTACGCCGAGTAGAACCCCACGCCGAACTGCCCGATCATGCTGATGTCCGCGCCCGCTGATAGAGCCTCCATGAACGACTTGGTGCCCGATCGCGCGATGGTTCCGAGATTGTTCACCAGATCTGCACAACAAAGATGCATCCAATCAGCAAATTATTAAGTTTAGCAAATAATGATACATGGCTAACTGCTTGATTGGTGAGAGATCCATCTGACGCTGTTCTGATATTTTGAAAAGCACAAAGCGCGGAACGTACCAGCCTTGGTCATGCCGATGCCAGAGTCGATGATGGTGAGGGTCTTGTTGGTCTTGTCGGGAACGATGTGGATGAACAGCTCCGGCTGCTTGTCCAGCTTGCTCTTGTCCGTTAGCGACTCGAACCGAATCTTGTCCAAGGCCTGCAAGCAACCCGCAGAATCAATCCCCAGTAAGTTTATGAGGTACGTGAATTGATAAATAATTAGATTCATAACATTTTTCAGCTGGGAATAAAGCGGTTATTGCTTACGTCAGATGCATTGGAGATGAGCTCGCGAAGGAAGATCTCCTTGTTGCTGTAGAAGGTGTTGATAATCAGACTGAGCAGCTGGTTGATCTCAGCCTGGAAAGCGAACGTCTCCACATCGGTACCCTGAGCCTCTGAAGCCATGGCGTGTCGTCACTAACGGCGATCAACAAGTTAGCGAGAAAGTAACTTGAAAGAATCAACCAGGAAGCACACCGAAGCAGGAAGTGAGATCGTTGAATCTGGATCGGCAGATAAACGTCCTCGTAGGAGTTGCTGAAAGCACAGCAACCAAAAAGCAGATCAAGGATTCACGAGAGATGGTTTGCTCCGGAAAGAATAAATCTGTTTGGAGCTAAACCCTCAACGGCACGCACAACACAGATCGCAGCTTGCTTTGGCGCTCAGAGGTTTCGGGAGACCAGCCACGTGGAAGCTTCGAGAATGTAATGGTTCTTTGGCGAAGCGGCGAAGGCACTTGTAAGCTGGCGAAGGCTGACGTGGACTGAGATGTAAAGGAAGTGCCTGCTTCGCGAACTTCACGAAACTGAAGTAGCCAATCACAAAGGTGACTGATCAAGCGATACGTCGTTCAGAAAGTTCTTTCGGACCCACTAGACCGGAAAAATCTTTTCGGCTCCTTCCAATAGAAATGACATTTTCGAGAAGGATCTAAGGGCTTCGCTACAATCTCCGAGGTCAAACAACAACACTAGCATGCTGAAGTGATTACAAGTACACCTTTGCAATCCACACTAGGTGAACAATCTTAATGAAAGAGAATCATCCTTGAAAAATGGATGGAGGGGGCTCAAAACGCTGACATACAGTAAGACAGAGAGATTCAAATCCATCTAACACGAGGCTGCTTCAAACCAGAAAAAGCCACATCCTGCTTTCACTGTTCTTACAGCACGATTCTTAGTGAATTACATGCACCACAACAAACCAGCCATCCTGCACGCAACCAAACCTACCCCCATGATGACCATCTCGTTCCTGACTGCAACAGCGTCCGTGAATAACCCCCTCCCGCCCCTCTCCCTTCCCCTCCAGCTCTATCCCCTCCTCCACCATCTCCCCCATCCCCTCTCCCAGCTCCAGGGGGGAACCCACCCCCAAACCCCGAAGGCGGAGGGCGAATCATGTTCATAGTCTTGGGAGCCTGCCCCTGCTTGCGCTGCCGGTCCTCCTGCTCCATGGCTCTCAGCTTGCTCTGAATCGCCGCCACCCGCGCCCGCTTCGCACTGTCTGCTGCCGATGCTGTTGCCACCGCTGCTCCTCCACCCCCACCTCCTCTCCCCAAACCTGCAGCCCCAGCAGCACCAGGAGCACCAGGGGCAGAAGCAGCAGCAGTGGCGGGTGCAGCAGTGGTGGTGGAAGTGTTTCGGTTCCAAACGGGGGCATCGGTGTTGTACGTGACCACCTTCTCATCCACGAATCGCACCACCAATGGCCGCCCAAACACCATCCGACCGTTCATTTTGGATCGCGCAAGCTCAGCTTCCTGATTGATGGGGGGAAATGGTGTAAAAGGGGAGGTCGTGTGAATAGGGACTTCGTGTGAGTGAGGAGTCGGTGTGAGTAAGGAGGAGATAGAGTGAGCGAGAAGATAGTTTCAGCATTAGCCTTACCACGAGTTAGACGGACCTCTTGCTGTGCCCTTCAACAAGTCTCAATCTCACCCCAAAACCCACTTCTCGCTTCCTGAAACCCACCTCTCCATGCCACCAACCTCTTTGCTCCTCCACCCACCTCTCGCTTGCTGTACTCGACAAAGGCATAGCCTCGAGGTTCGCCCCTCTTGGGCCCGTACGTGTGCCACAGGTACTCCTCTCGGCGGATCTTGCCGTACGGCGTGAACATCTTGATCACGTGGTACCTGCGGGACGAGCAGCATGCGACAGCGGCATGGCGCATGTCGATAAAGAAGTGACCTTTGAGTCGACCGAAAGGTCATGTTGCCGTACAGGGTGAACATGTTGATCACGTGGTACCTGCCAGGGGGGGGGCAGCATGTATGACACGTGGCATGAATATTGCCACGTGGCCCAAACACCAAGGTCACATGGTACTTACATCACACACAGCATGCAGCACTTGCCGGCACCCTTGCAAGTGCACCACTCACTCCCTCACCCAGAGTTTCCCACATGCAACTCAATATCTATAATTGTGTACATATATGTGCGTGTACATACATATACGTGTGTGCGTAGATAAATATGTTTATGTATATACAAGTGTATTTAAAACACTCACTCGGTAACGCGGTGGTCCAACACTCACTCGGTGACGCGGTGGTCCAACACTCACTCGGTGACGCGGTGGTCCAACACTCACTCGGTGACGCGGTGGTCCAGGTTGCCCACATACAGCTTGTTCTCTGTGCGCTCATCCGGCGGCGGGCCCGACCTGCCTGACGACTCCTGTGGGTGGGACGGTGCGGAGGAGGGAGGGAGGGGGTGCGGAACGGGTGGGGGAGGAGAGAAGGTGAAGGGAGCGGGAGGAAGCAGGGGGGAGGGAGCGGGGGTTAGGGATGGGGGAGGCAGCGGCGGGGAGGGAAGGGGGAGGAAGCAGGGGCAAAGCTATCATGGTGAAGCTGGTTCTGCTTGGAGCTTTCTATACGAAGGTGACAAGTCGAGGGAGGAGAAACGACGAGGAAGCAAACGAAAGGTGCGTATGGAGATGAAGTCGCTATTGAGGTACAAACCTTTCGTTTGTCGTATGGATGCGACCTCGACGAAGGTCTATCCCGACCTGCTTTCCCTACGCCGCCGTCCATTACCGCGCGCTGCTTATCCCTGTCTACCGCTGCTTATCGCGGTCCACCGCAGTCAGGAAAGACGCCGATTATCGCAGCCAGCCTCTAAATCCTTTCGTCGCCGTCCCTGCTGCTCGCAACGGGTCGTGCTCACGACTGCACGACGACGGTCAGTGCGCTGCTCCCAGTAGCGCTGTTCTTCTACAGAGTTACCAGACTAAGGTAATTACTCGCAGGACAAACAAGAAGAGCCTTAACGAGCGCACCGATGGATCAACCATCCGCAGCCTCAAGCTGCTTCCTCTCTCCAAGAAACAATACACCGTCAAAGGTAAGACTGGCAGACGGATTCAAGAAGCACGGTTGTCGTGGTTGTAGGTCAGTCAGTGAGCAACGAACAAGAAGCGGGATTCAACAACACTGCAGTCGCGTGAACTGTCCCCAACAACTCCCCAAGTTTTGTTGGCGAAATCGAGGTTCTTTCGTTGACTATGAAAGTGGTTTTCGTTGAGAGGGCTTGGGGTTTCGCCGGTCTCGCCAAATCTGAGCCTCGAAACGAGGTTGGGAAATGGTTCTAGAGATGTCCCGTGGGCTTGGTGGGTACGCTTTTCTACCGCTGTTTTCGCGAAACCCATTGGTATCTGGGAGGTTCGGAGAGGCTTTGAAAGCATTCTCTGAGAATCTACACGGGGTGCAAACAGATTTATATCGGTGAATGACGGTATTTTCACAAAGCCAGCTGCCCAGCAGCATGCGAGAATGGTTGAACACCTCTCAGATTGCTCACTTGTTTCACCCCGGTTGCAATTTACGGAGGCGGTCATCACTCCCATACCTAGATGTCGAGCAGGCCTTGGATCTAATCCCAGAAGGAAGCCTCCTTCTCCACCGATCCCGCTTAGCCTCCGTGGTGCAAGCTTTGCAAGATCTACTATCGCTAAGATGTCGAGCCGAAAAGAGGAATTTCGGAAAGGGACGCGACCTAAGCACGAGGACGGTGACGGTCACCGACGGAAGGCGTTCCGGAGGCCGACGGAGGGCGACTCGGGTGACGATTATTCGTCTGACGAGGACGCGATGCCGAAGGGAAAGCGTGCGAAAGAATCTGTCGCGTCGCGAGGCCGAGGGACGGATGCTGGCGAAAGGAGGAAGGTTGCGAAAGGTTCTGCGAGCGACAAGCGAGCAAAGGGTGCGGCTGACGTGTCGCTTAAGGAGCGGCCTAAGGTTCAATATTCGTCGGACGAATATTCTGCGGATGAGGATGACGACGAAGAAGCGGATCTCGTGCATAGGAAGAAACGCGACGGGATGCACAGGCGAGTCAATGGCGATGGGAAGGCGAAAGAAGGGAAAGGCCTGAAGGGCGAGGAGGGGAAATTGGGTGTCTCGGGAGGTAAAGAGTCCGGGAAAGTGAGCTTTAAGAAGGGAAAAGGGTTTCGAGACGATGATGAGGACGGGGAAAGGGAAGAGAAGGGTGGGACGCACAAACGATCGTTTCGGCCTGGTAGGAAGGACGAGGAGAGCGAGGAGTGGGACGAGGAGGAGGAGGAGGATGGGCCGGAATTGGTTGGGCGGGAAGCGAAGGGGGGAGTGGCGCGAAGGGAGGAAGATTTGCGGAGGAAAGGGGGTGAGCGCGAGGGGCGCGAGGTGGGGCGGGAGAAGGAGAAGGGCAAAGGGAGAGAGAGGAGCGAGAGGGAAAGGATTGAGAGGGAGAGAGCGGACGAACGCGAGAGGGAAGAGCGAGCAAGGGAGAAGATGCGGCGGGAGAGGGAGAGAGAGAAGGAAAGGGAACGGGAGAGGGAGAGGGAAAGGGAGAGGGAAAGAGAGAGGGAGAGGGAACGGGAGAAGGAGAGGGAAAGGGAGAGAGAAAGAGAGAGGGAGAGGGAGAGAGAGAGGAGGGAGAGGGAAAAAGAGAGAGAAAAGCGGGAAAGAGAAAAGGAGAGGGAGAGGGAAAAGGAGAGGGAAAGGGAAAGGGAGAGGGAGAGGGAAAAGGAGAGGGAGAGGGATCGGGAGTCGAGAAGGCGAAGGAGAGAGGCGGACGATGAAGGGGATGATGGCGGGAGGAAGGCGCAGGGGGAGGAGGGGCGGCGGAAACGCGTTAAAGAAGATGAGGTTGGGCGGGGTGAGAGAGGCGCAGAGGCGAAGGGGGAGAAGGAGAAGGGGAAAGATGAGGGGAAGGGGAAGGAGAAGGTTAAAGAGGAGAAGGGGAAGGAAGAGAAGGGGAATGAGGAGAAGGTGAAGGAGAAGGGGAAGGGCGGTGAGGGGGAGGAGGAGATGGACGCGGAGCAGCGGAGGCTGGCGGAGGAGATGGAGAGGCGCAGGCGGAGAGTGCAGGAGTGGCAGGAGCAGCGGCGGAAGAAGGCGGAAGAGGAGCAGGCGCGCGCAGCTGCAGGCGCAGGGGGGGAGGGCGGAAGCGGGGGCGCGGGGGGGAGCAGCGCGGCGCAGGCGGGTGGCGAGGGGAAGGGGCGCGGGTGGACTCTGGATGGGGAGTCGGATGATGAAGAGGAGAAGGGGGCCGCCGGGGATATGGAGGGGAAGGAGGGGAAAGGGGGGAAAGGGAAGGGGAAGGAGAAAGTGGAGGAAGAGGGGGAGGGAGAGGAGGGACGGGGAATGGATTTGGACGAGGGAGGGGAGGGAGAGAAGGGGGAGGACGAAGAGGAGGGAGAGAAGCAGAAAAGGGATCTGAAGGGGAAGGGCAAGGAGGAGGAGGAGGCAGCAAAGGAAGAAGCAGCAGAGGAGGAAGAGGAAGTGGATCCTTTAGACGCGTTCATGAACTCGCTGGTGCTCCCAGAGGTCACCAAGCTAGATGCCAAGGATGCCACCCGGCCCGCCGCCCCCACGGGAAGCACGGAGCCGGCAGTGGGTGGCAGCAGTTCGTCCCATGCTGCCAACGGTGGAGATGCGCTGATGGGCGCGGGGGCTGTTGTAGGGGCTGACAAGGGTGGCGCCAAGGGAAAGAAAGAGAAGGAGAAGGAGAAGGAGAAAGGGAAAGCAGAGGGGAAGAGGAAGGGCAAGGGACCCAAGGGGCGCATGGTGTTTGGTGTTGACTCTGAATCAGAGGACGAGGGGGGAGGGGCAGGCGAGTCAGGTGATGAGGAGGGAGAGGGCGAGGAGGGGGGAGAGGGCGGAAAGAAGGGAGAGGAGGAGGATGCGGAGTTTGTGAAGCGAGTGACGGCCGTGGCGCAGACCAAGGCGGAGAAACTCGCCCCTGTGGACCACTCGCAGGTGCGCTATGGGCTGTTCAAATCCTTTGAAACGCGTCAGAGCTGTTCTTATCAAACTGTGCGCCCTCGTTCAAAAGGCCTCGCAGGATGGTGTTTGAGGGTCAAACGTTTCGAAATCGTCAAGAACGGACTCGATAAAGTCTTCTTCTAGTACCTTGAAGGCTTTCTACCTTGAGGTCAGTGAGCTACCTACCTTCACATCCCCGACGAACACTGGCGGGCAGGGCAGGTGCACTGCAAGCCCTTCCGCTCCTTTGAGACGTCTCAAGAGAAATTCACGCACCTGATGAAACGCCTCGCTAGCTATTCGAGGCGCCTGAAAAGTTTCAAACCTCGCTTATTCACACAAACCCGTACACGTTGGCAGGCAGGTGGCAGGTGCACTATGCGCCATTCTAAAAGAGCTCTAAACGGAGGTGAAGGAAGGATGTGGCACGGATGACAGCAGCCAGCAGATGACAGCAGCCAGCAGATGACAGCAGCCAGCAGATGACAGCTCTGTACCGGCGCGAGCACGAGTTCAAGCTGCGTGGCAAGGACGTGCCCAAGCCAGTCCTTGAGGAGCCTCACCCCCCACTCTCCCCCACCATCCTCCCTCTCCCTTTCCCCCCTTTTTCGCCCCATCCCTCCCTTTCCCATGAACCCCTGGCAGGTGCACTACGAGCCTTTCCGAAAGAATTTCTACAAGGAAGTGAAGGAAGTGGCGAAGATGACAGCGGACGAGGTGGCGCTGTACCGGCGCGAGCACGAGTTCAAGCTGCGCGGCAAGGACGTGCCCAAGCCGGTGCACACGTGGGTGCAGAGCGGGCTGAGCAACAAGGTGCTGGACGTGCTCAAGAAGATGGGGTTCGAGCGCCCCATGCCGATCCAGGCGCAGGCGCTGCCCATTGTGATGAGCGGGCGCGACTGCATTGGGATTGCCAAGACGGGGTCGGGGAAGACTCTGGCGTTTGTGCTGCCGATGCTACGGCACATCATGGACCAGGTAAGGGGTGAGAAAGGGCGAGGGGGTTGGGATTGGGAGAAGGCGTAGCGTAGCATGACATGTCAAGGACCAGGTGCGGAGTGCGTGGGAAGGTTTGAGAAGCCGATGCCGATTCAGGTGCAGGCGCTGCCAATTGTGACGAGCGGGCGCGACTGCATTGGGGATTGGCAAGACTGGGTCGGGGAAGACGCTGGCGTTGGTGCTGCCCATGCCCATGCTGCGGCACATCATGGACCAGGTGGGTGGGTGGGGGTGGGGTGGAGAGGAATAGGATGGCACAAAGCGAGTGAGCCCCAGCATTCCCCCACACGTCTTTCCCTCTGCTTCCATCCACTCTCCTTCACTCCTCTCTGCTCCCCTCCGCTCCGCTCCACTTCCCTCTGCTCCCCTCCCTGCCCGCCTGCAGCCCTAACTGCAATCCGGCGATGGCCCCATAGGTCTCATCCTCGCCCCCATGAGGCAGATCGTGCAGCAGACCACCGAGCTACAGCTCTCCTCCCCCTCCCCCCTCTCCCCCCCCCCCAGCACTTCCTCCCCCGTTTTCCCCGCACCAGCCCCCACTGCAATCCGGCGACGGCCCCATAGGCCTCATCCTGGCCCCCAGGAGGGAGCTAGTGCAGCAGATCTTAACCGACATGCGCCGCTCTGCTCCTCTCCTGGGAGTACCCTGCTGACCTCGCAATGGAGGGCGGGGCTTGGTGCAGCATCAGACTGCTTTTGAGTCGACTCAAAAGGCGGGGCTTGGTGCAGCATCAGACCACCCACCCATCCACCCTTCCTCCCTTTTCGCCGTTCCCTCTGCTTCCCTGCACTTCCTTCCCCCCTTGCCTTCCTGCAGCCCCCACTGCAGTCAGGCGACGGCCCCATAGGTCTCATCCTGGCCCCCACGCGCGAGCTCGTGCAGCAGATCTTCGCCGACATCCGCCGCTTCGCGCGCCCCCTCGGCCTCTCCTGCGTGCCCGTCTATGGCGGCTCTGGCGTGGCCCAACAGATCAGCGAGCTTAAACGCGGCGCCGAGGTGGTGGTGTGCACGCCCGGGCGCATGATCGACATCCTGGCGACCAGCAACGGGCGCATCACGAATCTGAGGAGGGTGACGTATCTGGTGCTGGACGAGGCAGACCGCATGTTTGACATGGGCTTTGAGCCGCAGATCGGACGGATCATCGGGAACACAAGGCCCGACCGCCAGACGGTGCTCTTCTCCGCGACCTTCCCCCGCCAGGTCGAGACCCTGGCGCGGAAGGTGCTCACGAAGCCCATTGAGATCCAGGTGGGTCATTCTCTGTCTGTCTCTATCTGGCTCTCTCACCCCATCTGTGTCCTCTCCCCATTTCTGTTCTTGTCCTCTTTCCTCTTCTGCCTACCCCTTTCTCACCAGCCCTCTTCTTGCGCACCCAGCGGCGCTGTACCCTCCGCTTTCAGCGCGCCCAGCATCGCACTCAGCATCACACACAGCGAAGCTGTTCCCTCTTTCCCCTTTTGACTCCCTCCGCTCTGCTCGATCCCCTTCCTCTCTCATCACTCGCACCATTGACGTCCGCTTGGAGGGCGGCCGTTTCAGGAGCCCGATTTTGATAATATGGCGTTGATCATTCTCCTTTTCGAATTCTCTTTTCAGAAAATGCTCTAAATCTTCCTCATTTCTCCCCTCTCTCCATCCCCCCCTCAATCCTCCACAGGTGGGAGGGCGCAGCGTTGTCAACAGCGACATCACACAGACGGTCGAGGTGCGTCCAGAGGGAGAGCAGCGCTTCCTGCGGCTCCTCGAGCTACTAGGCGAGTGGTGCGACAAGGGCAAGATCCTGGTGTTCGTGCACTCCCAGGACAAGTGCGACGCGCTCTTCCGCGATCTCCTCAAGTCCGGATACCCCTGCCTCTCGCTGCACGGCGCCAAGGACCAGACCGACCGCGAGTCCACCCTGCAGGACTTCAAAACCAACGTGTGCAACCTGCTCGTGGCTACTAGTGTGGCGGCTCGAGGACTAGATGTTAAGGAGTTAGAGCTGGTAATTAACTACGATGTGCCGAACCATTACGAGGATTATGTGCATCGGGTGGGGAGGACCGGGAGGGCCGGGAGGAAAGGGTGCGCGGTGACGTTTATTAGTCCGGAGGAGGATCGGTTTGCGCCGGACCTGGTCCGAGCCTTGGAGCTTTCGAAGCAGCCGATTCCGGAGGATCTTAAAGCCATGGCTGATGCGTTCACTGCCAAGGTGAAGGCGGGGAGCGTGGTGGCGCATGGGAGTGGGTACGGTGGGAGTGGCTTTAAGTTTAATGAGGAGGAGGAAGCTGCTAAGAAGGCTCTGAAGAAAGCTCAGGCGAAGGAGTATGGGGTGGTGGTGGATGAGGAGGAGGGGGGCGAGGAGGAGGAGGAGAAGGAGGAGAAGGAGGGCAGCGGGGCGATTCGGAGGGTCGAGGCTACGAGTGCGGGTGGTGCAGCGGCGTCGGCAGCGCAGAGCATTGCAGCGGCGGTGGCGGCTGCTGCGGCTGCAGCTGCAGCGAACAAGGCAGGAGGTGCAGTGCCGGCAGTGGCAGGAGCTGCAGCAGCGAACCCAATCCAAGCAGCAGTGCAAGCAAGGATGGCCCAGATGGGCATCACCCCTGCTGCTGGCTCCGCTGGTGCAGCCGGTGCTACTGCTGCTGCTGCTGCCCTTGCCAATCCCCTTGCTGCTTCCCTCGTGGGAGCAGCAGCAGCAGGGGAATCAGCAGCGACGGCCATCGCCTCAGCAGCCGCCGCAGCCCCGACCCCCGTCTCCCGCGCAGCGGCCTTCGCAGCAGCCATCAGCCTGCAGCACAACTTAGCCAAACTCCAACCCGCCGAGCCCGTGAAAGCACACTACGAAGCGGAATTCGAGATCAACGAGTTCCCGCAGCACGCGCGGTGGAAGATCACCCACAAGGAAACCCTAAACCAGATCATTGAATGGACCGGCGCGTCGGTGACGACGCGCGGGCTGTACTGCCCGCCGGGCAAGGCATTAGCGGCCGGGGAGAAGAAGCTGTATTTGTCGATCGAGGGGCCAACGGAGGCGAGTGTGAAGAAGGCCAAGGTGGAGATCAAGAGGATTATCGAAGAGGCGAGTGCTGCTGATGCATCCCACCAGCAGCGCCCCGTGCAGCCGGGGCGGTACTCTGTCATGTGATGAGTGGGCAGGGGCGGGTACTCTGCCAGGTGACTGCTGCCGTGTGCGCAGAGGGGATAGGAGGGATGAGGGATTGTGGGGGGCTGTTGGGGGGTTGTGTGGGACTGGAAGAGCAGCGCCTTGTGCAGCGGGGGAGGGGGAAGGTATGTAGTGATGTGATGAGTGTGAAGGGGGGGCGGTTTGTGTCCCTTGTAGCTCCATGATGTGGCTGGTGCTGTCTGTGTGTAGGGGACAGGGGGAGGGAGGGAGGGGTTGAGTAGTGAGTGATTTGTACCGATTTTTTAGGCGCCGCAAAAAAAGGAACTCCTTGATGTGACTGGTGCTGTCTGCAGGTAGGAGACTGGTGAGGGGGTGAGCGGTGGTAGATTTGTACCAGTGTTGAGTGCAGTGGGGAGCGGTGTCGGCTCGTGCTGAGCAGTGAAGTGCGGGCAGACGGGATGAAAACCGGCTCTTGTGAGCTCACAGATGTTCCAGAATGCCCCCGCTCGGTTGGGTAATCGTCACATTGCTCAATTATACGGTACCAGTGGGATTGTGCTGGGGCCTGAGTAATTTCCTGGTGTCGGCAATCCCTGTTTTACGGTATGTGACAGCTAGGCCATTGCTATTCCTCCTATACAGTAAACTCTCATGCACTCATTTAAAATGTGTGACACGACACGACGGTGTCGAATACCAGTATTATGCGCCCCATTTGAACGTCCTTTGTTTGCAAGTGGACATTCACTTGGACTCCTGGTCTAGTTAGTCCATTCGTCACACACTATTATCACGTAAGTTTATCCTGCTAGCTCATGAAATATTTTGTGGCAACTTCTCACTAGAAGGAATTTCTGAATCCTGGACATCAGATTTGTTGGGATTGTGAAAGCTTGCTTAGTCCATCTTGCAAAGGCAGCGTGCTTCATTCCAAGTGGGGCAGCGTGCTTCATTCCAAGTGGGTAATACAACGTTCTCGTTCATAAATGATACACAATGGGGTGGGTGGTGGGAAAGTAAACTAGAAAAGTTGGAAATGAAGAACGTGGGTGAAGGCGACTGAACCCACGTCCCTCTTTTGTAGGCAAAAGAGGGGTGAGTAGCGTCGAGCCGCTACCTTTGCTTTGCTGGCCACGTCCTCGCTTTCACAATACGAAATTTGAAAAAGTGTTACACTTTTAAAAATTATAATATTGTGAAAGCTTGCTTAGTCCATCTTGCAAAGGCAGCGTGCTTCATTCCAAGTGGGTCTTCTGAGGCAAGTGCATTTTGGGTCGGCGGTGCCTCTCCAACGATTGCTGGTGCCGACCAGGCGACGGGGCTGCAGAGGTGTCCTGCAGCCGGGTGGAGAGGTCGATGAGTTGGTCTTGGGCGATGGTGACGTAGAGATCCTTCGCGCCGTCGCTGCGCCATCGCCCCATTCGTTTGAAGAGCCGGTCAGGGATGCCTAACGCCGCTGCTGCCGTTGCCGCGCCCTTGCGGAATGAGTGTGTCCCGATGTGTGTGGCGTCGAGCCCTGCCTTCTTGCACGCCTCGAGGCACCAGCTCCGAATGGTTGGGTATGAAGGCGATTTGTCGTGCGGCGAGGCCTGTGCCCTTTTGTTGAAAACCCGAATCAGTGGCCCGTGAGGCATGTTTGCAAGGCCTGCGATGCGAATGAACTCCCGTGTGCATCTCACTGCGCAGTAGGGCCCTGCTGACGCTGCGACCGGGATCCACGTGCCCTTGCCTTCTTGGTCCGTCTTAGAGTAGGGAATCAGTAGCCACATTGCCTCCCCTTCGAACTGAATGTCGTTCCATTGGAGGGAGATCAGGTCGGAGTAGCGCAGGAATGCCGCGAACATCAAGAGAGGTATCAAGCCTTTCTGATATTCCGCCGGCACTGTTGATTCCAGGAATGGTCGTGCCATGTTGTGCACTTGATGTAGTGACACGGGTTCCTTGGTCCTTGTTGGGCGTAGGCCATGTCGCTTAGCGAACTCTCGTACTTGCAGCGTGAACGCGCCGTTCGTTGGGGATGCCTCTCCAGTCATTCGATGGGCGAAGGCTACGGCAGAGCATGTGAGGTTGATCGCTGACGTTGTTGCCTTGTTGTTCAACGCATGGACTAGGTAGAGTGCCAGCGTGAGGTCCGTCGCTGGCAGAAAAGCTAGCTTGACTCGGGTGCAAAAGTTGCGAAATTTGAGCCAGTAAGGCTGGTATGTCTCGATCGTAGATGGTGCGCGAACATCATTTATAACTTGTAACAGTTGGTTTTGAAGCTGGGTCAATAATCTTGAAAGAATTAACACTCGAATATTAGTCACGTATGATATTTTACATGCAAGGCAATTATTGGGCTATGGGGTAGGCCTAGTCCGGAAAATGCTGTTGCATGCGAACCAGGTCGAAGGCACTGGCTGCCTTGAGCGAGTGGCAAGCATGCGATCACTTCTGGGGCCCATGTCTCTGGGGAGGGTTGTAGCAACGGCCACCATGCTGCTCCCGGCCACTTGGGGACGACGAGTGTCAACTCGGCTTGTGTGCGCCTGGCGTGAGAGAGTGTGGCTGGGATCAAGCCGGGGGGCGGAAAGGTGAAGCACCGCTCGCCTTTCCACGAGATCGAGAACGCGTCAATTGCTGTGGCACTTGGGTGCGGTATCTTGGAGCAGAATCGTTGCAGCCTCCTGTTGCTAATGTTCGCGAAAAGGTCGATCGTATGGGGGCCCCATACGACGTTCCAGTAGGCGAAACCATGGCATGTGCAGCGAGTAGTCGTCATGGTCTTGGAGTTTTGACAGTTCGTCCGCGTGGGCGTTGAGCTCCCTTGGGATCCATTCGATTGCCAGACGTGTATGGTTCTTGAGGCAAAACTGTATGACTGCTTGACAAGTCAGTGTGAGCCGAGGTTGACTGGACCCCCCTTTGCGCAAGATAAACATGACTCCTTGGTTGTCCACGCGAACCAAAACGTGGCCGCCTTGTGAAAATAGTAGGTGTGGGGCCTAGGCTTAGTAGCCTAGGCCCACACTAGGAGATAGGTAAGTTCGAGTGGGTTTCTCCTAGGGGAGAGTGTCGAGAAATTGGAAGAGAAGTGGTTTGACTAGCAAGAGTTGGGATACAAGTACATTGCCCTAAATTGGGTTGTACTCATTACAGAGTACCCCACTGCAGGCTAAACAGCAAATATATTCTGACACGCCTGTGAGATGGGACGCAAATGTCTGTAGCGCCCAGAGGACACCCTCGAGCTCCCTTTGAGTGCTTGAGGTTGGGAGGAGCTCGCTCGGCATGCTGGCGCTTGCTTCGTACGACGCGTCGGTAAACTTGGTGAGGGTGGCGCCCCAGCTGTGAGCGCTCGCGTCGACGTGGATCACAGCATCGAATTGATGGCTTAGGTGAAATGGGGCACCGTTAAACTGGTCGAAGTGCAGTTGCCAGAAGATTAGCTCCTCGATGGCGGCCCGTGTCAGCCCGATCCTTGAGTTCCAGGATGCCGCTGTCTCGATCAATTGTAGCAGCTCGTGGCTGAAGGCGCGTGCTGTTGTGCCCAATGCGAGGGACATAGAGCTCAACATTCCGGTGATACGAGCGACTTCCCGAATTGGGACTTGCTGGCCGCGTTGCCCCTTGGAGATGAGTGTGTGCAGCTTGTCGAGGAACTGCGCTCGCCGATCGGAGCCGATGCTAAACATGCCGCATGTCGTGTCCAGCTCCATCCCCAGAAATCGTGTTTGATGGGCCGGCTGGAGGCGTGATTTCTTTTCGTTGATCACGAAACCTGCCGCCCCGAGGTCTCGGAGAACCTCTGTGCATGTCTTGCGTGCGTGCTCCGCCGAGTCGCAGAGGAATAGCAGGTCGTCCACATATGGGACTACGCGCACGCCCCGCGCCCGCCAGCGTTTGGCCAATTGCTTGATCAACTGGGTGAAGACGAAAGGTGCTGTCGCCAGTCCAAACGGCAAGGCTCGGAAGCAGTAGAACTCGCCTTCGAATTGGAAGCCTAGGAACTTCCAGCACGAAGGGTGCATCTCGACATGGTGGTAGCCCGATTTTAGGTCAATGGTGAACAGCCAGTCGTTGCGTCGAATGATCTCCGAAACGCGATTCAGGCCCTCGTATTTGAATTTAGTGACTTGGAGGTGTTGGTTGACCTTGCGTAGGTCGAGGATGAGGCGACATTTGTCGCGTTGTTCTACCACGTTGAGTGGGCTCACGCACGAGAGCGCAGTCCGCGAGGCGACCTTGGTTGCCGCGCCCGATGTGATTAAGTCGCGAATGGCCTCACGAGTGAACGTGGTGTGTGCATGAACACCCGCGTGGTTTGTGGTTTCGAAGGGTGGCGGTTCTGTAGTTTTCCAAGGCAGCCAATATCCCCTGGCAATAATAGAGATGATAAAACTGCTGTCGCACCACGATATCCACCAATGTAGTTGGTTACGCAATCGGTTGCGCATGACCTTCACTGTGTCATCTGTGACCGCGTTCTCGTATGGGTCCCATTCCGCCTCTCGCCACTTGTCGTCCGCTACTGCACGTGGGGCAACCGGGGTGTGGTGTATTGGGTGATTAGCCTTTGCCCATAGGACCAGCCCGGGGGCTTATGCATACTCGGTGCTACGCCTTCCGTCTCTCCTTGTATCCTCCCTCCTCTAGTCTTCCTTTCTCCATGTTTCTTGCTCTCACTCTCTTTCTCTCTCTCTCTCTCTCTCTCTCTCTCTCTCTCTCTCTCTCTCTCTCTCTCTCTCACACTCTCTCTCGCTCTCACTCTCTCGCTCTCGCTCTCTCTCTCTCGCTCTTGCTCTCTCTCGCTCTCTCTCGCTCTCTTTCCCTCCCTCTCCCTCTCTCTCTCTCTTTCTCTCTCTCCCTTTCTCTTCCTTGCGTTCTCTCTCTCTCTCGCTCGCTCTCTCGTTCTCTTGCTCACTCCTCTTCCGATCTTTCCATTTGCTCTTCTTCTCGAACTCTGCCCCGTATTCGCACGTTTTCCTTCCATCTCGTTTTCTTCCTCTTTCCTTCGTACTCTTCCCTTCAAGTCAGGGGGG